CCAGTTCCATATTAGCTGTAATTTTTTTAAGCAGTCACTTGTGCTTTTCAGGAAACCTTTTTGACTTTGGCATTTACTTTTTTTCTGCCTAATGTTTTATAGGAATAATCCTGTGAATTTTTTCAACCATTTTTATTCTGTAGGTGTTAAATATTCAGATTGTGGATAATGTATGCATCTGGATTCTTATTTATATTCTGATTTTTGAACTGTGTTGTGTCTTATTTTACACCTTCGCTAGAGTGCCTGAGGAAGAATGAAGAGACAGAGAATCAGTTTCCCTGTAGAGTAATAGCTTTTTCTGAAGGTTTAATGTTTAAACTTTTGGCTTGAAGGCATGGAGCTGGCTGATTCTTTGACTTCATTTTATCCTACCTTTCTGTCTCTCATGGTTGCAGTGGATAAATGACTCTAATATCTTTGTTCTCAGATGAATTAAATTGTGACTTTGTTAACCTGTAGTAGGTTTGCCTAATTTATTAGACACCACCTGTCTTAGAAATGCCTTCCTTCTTCTCACTTTCTCAAAACTGCTTCCTGGGAAAACTCTTGCAGTCACCATTCAGAGAAAATCACTTGTAACTTAGAAAATATTCTTGCTCAACAGGCAGTTGAGATCTATGCAGTTTGCTTCATTGTATGATTTAGACATATTTCATCGATAACATACTTTTGATAATTTGAGTTTTACGAATATATAACTACATAGAACAAAAGGACAAGGGTTCAAAGACTTTTTCTTCTGCATCAGTTTGTATGGTAGACAAGGCTGATGGCTGTTGGTGCTGAAAGTATGTGCCTCTTTTTTATAGAAAGACCTGATTTGAACAAAAATTCTTACTCTCTTACATGGTTCTTGTACTGCTAAGGCTGACACTGAATAGCTGGGTCACTGACTGAGTCAATAAATCTATGCTTTTCCTCTGTTTTTAAAAAGTCAGATTAGGGGCCGGCCCCATGGCGCAACAGTTAAGTTTGCACGTTCTGCCTCTCAGAGGCCCGGGGTTTGCTGGTTTGGATCCTGGGTGCGGACATGGCACCGCTTGGCATGCCATGCTGTGGTAGGCATCCCGCATATAAAGTAGAGGAAGATGGGCACAGTTGTTAGCTCAGGGCCAGGCTTCCTCAGCAAAAAGAGGAGGAGTGTCAGTAATTAGCTCAGGGCTAATCTTCCTCAAAAAAAAAAAATTAAAATAAAGATTATTTTTTTACTCCTTATCCCTATAGACAACCAGCTAATGTTAGTGTTTATCTGTGTTTAAGGTTCACATTCAAAGTAAAAAGTCTGCAATGGGAAAACATAAATTTCACCCTTCTCAGAGAAGAGTTCTGTAGATGTATACAAGTTTTTGTTTGCTTTTAAATATCAGCAGGTCTCTTTTCTAATTAAGAGCTCAGAAGATTACATGCAGTTCTGGTTTTTGTAACGAAGAGCTTACTAGATTAAAAAAAACCTTTCTGTTGACTTTTTGATTCAGAACAATATATAAATTTTAAATATATCTTTGCTTATTGTCTTCTCCTAGAAGTAGTTACAAAATTGGGGAGGAGAAATAATTTGCAAATTGATCCTCTAAATTATTAAGAGGAATCAGGAGTTAGTCAGTGTTGGGGCACCTCCATAGCTTACTATCTAAGTGATGTTGATGTTGGGTGAGTTACATAACCTTTCTTTTTTTTTAAATTAAAAAAAAATCTTTTAAAGATTGACATCTGAGCTAACATCTGTTGCCAATCTTTTTTTTTATCTTCTTCTCCCCAAAGCCCAGAGTACATAGTTGTATATTCTAGATGTGACTGCCTCTGGTTGTGCTATCTGGGATGCAGCCTCAGCATAGCCTGACGAGCAGTGCCATGTCTGCACCCAGGATCTGAACCAGTGAAACCTCAGGCCGCTGAAGCAGAATGCACGAACTTAACCACTCGGCCATGGGGCTGGCTCCTACATAACCTTTCAAACTATCTGTAAAATAGGGCTAATAGTGATAGTACTTGCCTCATTGGAGTTGTTAGTGGCTAAGTAGTTGTCAGTAGATAACTTAGCATAGGTATGTAGCATAGTGCCTAACAGATAGTGCACAGTGAAATGTCACCTGATTAGTTTTAGTAGTAATATCATCTTTGAAAAAAGACCTAACTTTTTTTCTTACCTTGGTAATAAATGTGTTAGTGTGAAAAATTATATAGTCCTAAGATTAATTTGGAAAGAAAAGTCAAATAAATAATATTCCTTGAATATTGAGAAATTCTATTGCTTTTGAATATGGCAGATTTTTTTTTTTTAACTTGTAGTTGAGTTGAGGTAATGAACTCACATTTACCTGGCTTGTCTTTGTATACAAATTATATAAAATGGGAAGCCTTTTAAAAAGTAAAGGACTGTTGATCTGTGTTTTAAGAAATATTTTTTATAAGCCTGTTTTTGTTTTTGTTTTTTGGTGAGGAAGATTCACACTGAGCTAACATCCGTTGTCAATCTTCCTCTTGTTTTGCTTGAGGAAGATTAGTCCTGAGCTAACGTCTGTGCCAGTCTTCCTCTGTTTTATGTGGGGTGCCACCACAGTTTGGCTCGATGAGCAGTGCTAGGTCTGCACCCAGGACCAAACCTGCAAACCCCAGGCCACTGAAGCAGAGCATGCGAACTTAACCACTACACCACCAGCCCAACCCCCTTCGTTCTGAACATTTTTAAGCTTTATGATCTAATGTTATAAACTCCTTTTTTTTCTTTTGAGGAAGATTAGCCCTGAGCTAACATCTGCTGCCAATCCTCCTCTTTTTGCTAGGAAGTCTGACCCTGAGCTAACATCTGTGCCCGTCTTCCTCTACTTTATACGTGGGATGCCTGCCACAGCATGGCTTGATAAGCAGTGCCATGAATGCACCCTGGATCTGAACCAGCGAACCTTGGGCCGCCTAAGTGGAACGTGTGAACTTAAATGCTGCACTACCGGGCCGGCCCCTAATGTTATAAACTCTTAGTTATATTTGCAAGATTATGTGGCTGCCTAACACAGGAAATTGCCACGCAGGTTTCTGCCCCTATGGGCTTTGTACTTTTTTCTCCCTTTCCCTGGAATCCTTTCTCCCTAATTATGGTCCAGCCTTGGGGTCCTCAGGTCAATCAGGGCTTTGCAAAAGGGACATCTACTTTTGAGAGATGTTCTCTCTTCTACCTAAAATGTCACTCTCCATCCTTATCATGCCTTTTCTCCCCACCACCAGGCATTATATTATATACTCTTCTTTATTTTTTTATTTTCCAAATTACTTTCCCATTGGAATAATAGCTGAGGGCAGGAACTTTGTTTTGTTTACTGCTGATTCCTACTTTGTGTGATGTAGAACTGGACCTGTCACATTATAAGAATTAATAAATACTTAAGTGAATGAATCAATGGTATTGGTCAAATTAAAACATAGTTTTATTGAGTAGATGGGGAGAAAGAATCCATGAATCAATTTTTAATAATTTTCTGAGTTTTTTTTAAAGTATTTATGCTCATAAAAAATGAATCATTTCACAAGATGACATTTATTACTTTTCCCTTTCCCCTCCACCACCCCCCCAACGAAAAAAAAGAAAAACAAGGTTTAAAGTTTAGACATGACCTGTCAGTCAAGAGGCATAGTGAGAACTCCAGCTCTGCGTATAATAGCGTTACCTGCTCTAGCTTCATTTTCCTTATCTTGTTTCCTTTCCAGGATCTAGCCCAGTGCCTGGTACATAGTTAAGGTAGTCAGTAAATGTTTGTTGGGTAAGTGAACCTGTAAAGTGAGTAAAAACATGAACTAGTGCTAGTTTCCCAAAGGGTGTCCTAAAGACTCTTGGATAAGAGCTTCTGGAATAAAGTGGATCAAAGAAGTTTGGAAAGCACTGTTCCATTGATTCTCAAACTTAAGTATACATCAGAATCACCTGGAGGACTTGTAAATACAATCTCTTCAGTTTACCCTCCCTACCTCCTTGTTTGAGGTAGGGCAGTGAATTTCTAACAAGTTCTGAGGTGGTTGAGGTGATATTAGTTCTGCTAGTCCTGCTGGGACCACACTTTAACAACCCCTGCTGTATCTGTACTCCTGTTGAGGTGATTCACACTAGTATATTGAAAGTTTTGAGAAGCACTGCAGTAGGGGAAACTGTTTAACTCTTAACTCAGTATTTCCAAGACTTACTTTACCATAGTACCCTTTCCATGTATGTGTGTGTGTGTGTGAATCATCTATCTATCACGTTACACACAGTGCCTCTTAACATTCTTGAAACTATTGTTCTGTGGGCCATACTTTCAGAAACAGAGCCAGATTACATTTACAGTGTTTTCCACATGTAAAATGATGATTTTTTTTTTTTCCATGCTTGGGCAGGTGACTAAATTGTGTTAGGAGTGAAACCGTCGGAGTTGAACTCTGTTGCAGAGCTGAAAGAAAGTATGATAGTCATGATCTGCATGGAAACATTTATATACATTTTTGATTCTTGCTTAGCATACATTTGGGAAATGTAGGGATGTGTAGCAAGAAAAATTTCATGAAAATTGAGCCCAAAATGATGAAGTGATTTCTTTTTCAGTACCTTTTATTGTTTATATTTCTCTTTCTTTTATGGTTGGTTTTAATCTGCCAAACGCATTTTCAGAACTTTAGGTCATGGCAAAATTAGGAAAAAATAATTTGTTGTGAGAGTTGAGTTTTCGCCAGATAATGATTGTCTCGTCTAGTGTCGTCTTTTTTTTTTCTAGTTGTGTTTTGAAATTTAGGCTAATCTTCTTTAATGGTTTAGCACTCTACTCTGCATGTCAGATTTTGTTGACTTCATTTTTAAATATTGTTGTCCTTATTCCTGTCTTCTGTCTTAGAGTAGTGGATGTGATAAAAGATTTGAGTAAATTAATAGGGGATATTTGAGGGAGAAGTGACATTTACAGACTCTTTAGACACTAAACGTCAGCACAGAGTCTTCACACTTGAACTTAATGGAATGCTTTATGTCCTCCAAGGCTGTGGATCTTTCCATTGATGAGTCCAGTTTGACAGGAGAGACAACACCTTGTTCTAAAGTGACGGCTCCTCAGCCGGCTGCAACTAATGGAGATCTTGCATCAAGAAGTAACATTGCCTTCATGGGAACACTGGTCAGATGTGGCAAAGCAAAGGTAATTTTTTTCTTGTTTTGAAAATAACAGTTCCTTTGTTTTCAACCATTTTCTCGGTTCTTTTTTGCTAATTTAAGTGGATCTTTTCAAAATATATGACAAAGAAGTGACAGAATTGAGCCTAACCCTTGGCGGGTATTTGTGAGTCTGAGGGGAAGCTGTGTCCCTGAGGTATAATATGTCCGTAGTTCTCCCATTTACCCGATAATGGATCCTTTAACAGCATAGTCCTCACTACCTGTTCTTGTTTTGGATAGAAACAGTGGCTCGTGGATATGTTCATAACTGGTTAAATAAAACTTTAATTCAGTTGATAGGATACTGGCTATAATATTCTGACTACATTTCATTCACCTACTAATTGATTTCAGATTTTTTTTTCTGGATTCTAATATTCCCCAAATATAAAAGGCAGCATTCAATAGCATTTGAAGGAGGAAAATAAACTACATTAAATGTTTCTATTGAGTATAACACAGATTCAAATTTCAGAAATATTAATATAGACAAAAAATGAGCCTCAGAATTGAGTCAGTATTAAGTTTAATGAAATGTTTGTTTTCAAGGTTTGTAACCTAAGCCGTAAATACTAATGATCTTTAATAAGATCAAAAAGGAAATTTGCTAAGGGAACTCTGAATGTGTATGTCAGACATCTTGACTGTGGCCAATGCGTTGGTGAAAGCTAATGAAGAGTTTATGTAGTTTTGGTTGAGAGAGAGGATTCCATTTGAATGTAAATATATTTTCCTGTTTTTCCCTTTAGGGTATTGTCATTGGAACAGGAGAAAATTCTGAATTTGGAGAGGTTTTTAAAATGATGCAGGCAGAGGAAGTGAGTACTTAGTTTCAAATCTGAAATTCTCCGTTACAAGTAGAAGAAAAGAGAATGTTAGTGGATTATTTTATGTACTATGAAAAGTAATATTTTATTCAGAATATCATTCAGTTGTCTGTGCTTAAAAACATAATTGGAAAGCCTGTAATTAGAGGGGGCTTGAATTGACATTGTTAATATTTGAAAACTTTTGATATTTGTTTAATATTTTAGGAGAAAAAAGGTATAGTCAATTATTTATAGGGCTTATTCTTTTTAGAAACTAGCTTTATCGTATTAATTTTAGACATTACTAAATAGTATATTTGTACCTCAGAACATGTCCTCAACCAAAATTCCCAAGTTTACGCAATTCCAAGTAATGGGAAAAAAGATTGCAAAGTAAGATAACCTGGATGATACCCTTGTTTAAGGATATTGAAGATTAGTTCTCTCATTTAAAATACTTTCTTATATATAAAAAAGAAGTTGCATTCTACAAATGTCATATTCTCCCCAAGTTGTCTGGATTTCTCAGGTAATCTGCCAAGATTCTAGGATGATCACGTAGAAAACCATTCCAAGAAGCTTGGCAGTGAAGGGACCACCAGAGAAGGGATTTAGCGGATCAGGGAGCCAACAGGATGAAAAGACAGATTACAAGCGTGTTTGTGGATACAGAAAGGAGAAAGATTGGAAAAGTGACGGCAGCTGGTGGCAGTGAAGTCCCGGAGAAGCTGATGGGGAGAATAGATTTCTCCTCAAAGACAGGCATAGGAACATGGACCTTTTCAGATAAACAGACTTTCTAAAGTCTAAGCCTCAGTTTCCTCAGTGAGGGGGCCGGTATTTATCTGAAGGGAGAATTGTGTATGTCATGGGGATGTTAAGCACTTAGCAGAGTCCCTGGCATGTAGCATATACATTTAGCTAATTGTGGTGACACTCTTCTCCAATTTGTCAAGGCGCCAAAAACCCCTCTGCAGAAGAGCATGGACCTCTTAGGAAAACAGCTTTCCTTTTACTCCTTTGGTATAATAGGTAAGAGAAGAGTGAGTATGTATATCTCATATGATTACTTAGGTTTTCTTTTTTGAGTGGGAAGGGAGAGGTTAGATACAAACATAATTTATTTATTGATTTAAATAATTATTTATTTTTTAGCTTACTACTACTTTTTTTAAATTATAAAACTAACCCACAGGCGTTGTCTTTTTCTACAAAGATGAAATAGAGCTCCATGTAATTCCTGTAATCAAACAGGTTTCTGTAAACATCTTAGTATTTATCTTTGTACAACAAAATGTGATGTATTGTTTTATGGACTACTATTTTGTTTCACATATCCTATCATAAACATCTTCTCGTTAAATAGATGCTCACAAATTTAAAGCTTGTATAGTATTCCATTGTGTGAATATATATGTATATATTTATAAATCAGGCCTCTTTTAGACATTTATGTGGGTTTCTTGAGTTGTTTTAATTATGTAAATGATTCTTCAGTGCATGTATCTTACTGTAAATACCCCTCATTTCCTTAGGATAAATTCTTAAAATTATTGAGTCAAAGAGAATCCATGTAATTTCTAAATTTTTGGTATGCTTTAAAGTGTTTTGTTTCATATTGCCAAGTAGTACCCTTCATCAGCAAGGCAAAAATGTCTCTCTTCGAGCACCCTTGCCAACTTTGCTGCCATTAACTTAACAGATGAATAAGAGACTTCTCATTATTTTATTTCACAATTCATTATTAGAGAAACTGAACACTCTGTCGTGTGTGTGTTGGTCCTTTCTGTTTTATTTTATGACCTGTCAATCTGTTTCTTTTGTCCCTTCTCTTATGGCTTGACTCTTAGATTGGTAACAGCTCTTTGTATAATTAGGATAGCAATCCTCTTGTTTAAGTTAGGAGTATTTTTTCCCCCCAATTTTTAAATTGCCTTTGGTGGATATATAATACACTTGGTAGGAAGGTGGGAGATGTGAGTAACTGAAACGTCCTCTTGCCCTTCCTATTGACAATCTCTGCACTTATGTTTTCTTTGTTTATTCTGTTCATAAAGACTCTTCCAACTCCATGTTGGGAAAATGTTTATGTTTATAAGTATATTTATTTGAACATCATTCTACTACATTAGTTTTTATTTTTGACACTTTATTTTACTATATTATTTAGAATTCATTCTAGTACAAGGCTTAAGGTAGAGTTATGACTTTTTAATCAAAAGTTAATTATTCTAGTACCGGCAATTCTATAGTCTATTCTTTATTCACTGAGTTGAAATGACATCTTTATCATACATTAAACACTTGCATCAATTTTGGAGTCTTTTCCCCTTTTCTCAAATTCTTTGTTATGCTATTTTAATTGTTCTTGCTAGCTTAATGTTTTAAAATCAATAATGTGATTTTAAAGCAATATTTCTGCTACGCATAATTATTTCTTTCTTTAATAATTCAGTGAAATAATTCTTTAAATATTAATTCTTTTGTTCTGTCTCTCTTTATCGTAAGCATAAAGTAGAAGATAGGAAGGTATTTGTTCCTCTTTTTATCTGGTGTGTATGTTCTCATAACTTCCTTCATTTGATTATTACTATTTATTTTCTAGAATTTATAAATGAATTTGATAAATTGAAGGGTATTTAGCCAATTAAATATTTCCAGTTTATATTAACACTGTACCATGAAACCATCTTGAATTTAGTGATAAAAAGATGTTTCAACTCTATGATTCTAGTTTTCATATAATAATGCATTGAACATAATTTTTCTTGTTAGGATAATAAATAGAATAGGATAAGGGTCAAAATCAAAATCAGGGGTCAGCAGACACTTCTTTTGGGCAAAGGGCCAGATAATAAATATTTTAGCCTTTGGTCCTTGCAGTCTCTGTTGGAAATACTCAACTCTTCCATCAGCACAAAAGCAACCATAGACAATACACAAACAAATGGGTGTGGCTGTGTTCCAGCAAACTGTTACAGAAGCATGCAGGAGTCCCCTGGTATAATTCACTGGATGTAATTTCTTTTGTCAGGATGGTATTTGGAATGGGATCTTAGAGCGCTGAATTCTGGATCATTATTTTGTAGTTATAGAAAGATAAAGAAAAACCTTGTTATACATGTCCTTATTGATGGAGAATACAATCTTGAAGTTGCTTTGTTTTATTAAAACTGATGATACTGAGTTTTTCCTCACAAAATTAGTGTTGCGCTGATTGCTCTCCATCTTTTCAAAGATAAAGGTTAAATAAAGCAGAGAGTATGGAATCAGTTGTTTGGTTTATGTTAATTGATTTTTTTATTTTTAAATGCCATAGAAGTCGTATTTTTTTAAATGCTAATGTAGGTTTAGATGTCTTAACTAAGATATAGCACTCTGAGCCAAGTCCTAAGTGACTACTTCGTTTGCAGTATGAACTTTATTTTTTTTATTTATTTTTTTATTGAGTTATTGATAGGTTACAATCTTGTGAAATTTCAGTTGTACATTAATGTTTGTCAGTCATGTTGTAGGTGTACCACTTCACCCTTTGTGCGCACTCTCCACCCCACCTTTCCCCTGGTATCCACTAAACTGTTCTTAGTCCATAATTTTAAGTTCCTCATATGAGTGGAGTCATACACAGATTATCCTTCTCTCGCTGGCTTATTTCACTTAACATAATTCTCTCAAGGTCCATGCATGTTATTGCAAATGGAATGATTTTGTTCTGTTTTGCAGCTGAGTAGTATTCCATTGTATATATGTACCACATCGTCTTTATCCATTTGTCTGTTGCTGGACACTTAGGTTGCTTCCACGTCTTGGCTATTGTAAACAGTGCTGCAGTAAACATTGGGGTGCATAGGACTTTTGGGATTGCTGACTTCAAGCTCTTTGGATAAATACCCAGTAGTGGGATGGCTGGATCGTATGGTAGTTCTATTTTTAATTTTTTGAGGAATCTCCATACTGTTTTCCATAGTGGCTGCACCAGTTTGCATTCCCACCAGTGCAGTATGAACTTTAATGTGTAATGTCTTGGTATGGAGTCAGGAGAAGTTCCAGAGTTTACTTTTGCAAAGCTGACGGTAAATAGAAGACCTATATGTCTTAAACTACCTTCTCTTTTTCCCCCCATTGTATGAAAATACTGGTAATGTTTTCTTAAACTGGGAACTCTCAGATGTTATTTTTTTAAGGGATGGGTAGCAGCAATGGCAGCAAAAATTAAAACTGTGTGTGCATGTGTGCATACGTAGCATTAACTTTAAGCAGTATTAACTTTAGTCTCCGGGCTTAATGGATTTTTGTAAAATCTTGTAATCGTGATCTGATATAATTTCCCTTTTATATCAAGGGACTTTTTGGCTGCCCTCAGCTTGCTATTCTATTTGTTCTGTGCCTAGCTGGTTTTATATAAAAGGGAAAAATAGCAATTTGATTCTGTTCCAGGTATCATCATGTTGGTTGGCTGGTTACTAGGAAAAGATATCCTGGAAATGTTTACTATTAGTGTAAGGTAAGTTCTAATAGTGTATTTATAAATTGAAGTCTCTTTTGCCTCTCATTTCTCTGATAGGCATAGTTAGTGTTCCATTATGGAGATATTATATGAGCACATAAGACTATAAAATCTACTTAAGAGGTTCAGAATTCATGTATTGAAATGAACTCTAGGAAAATGAAAACCTACATATATGGCAGTGGAGAAAACCCATACTAGATGTCTAGTATTATTAACCCAATATTGCATTTTTATATATAAATCGACAATTAAGGATTGCCAAACTGAAAACTGGCAGCATCAAAGAGACCACAATATAGAAATTGAATAATCAATCTCAGAGGAAAATGAAAAATTCAAGAAATAGAAGAAAAATTAAAAATATACAGAAAGCGGGGCTGGCCCTGTGGCCGAGTGGTCAAGTTCGCGTGTTCCGCTTCGGTGGCCCAGGGTTTCCCCAGTTTGGATCCTGGGCACGGACATGGCACTGCTCATCAGGCCATGCTGAGGTGGCGTCCCACGTGCCACAACCAGAGGCACTCACAACTAGAATGTACAACTATGTACTGGGGAGCTTTGGGGAGAAGAAGAAGAGGAAGGAAAAAAAAAAGATTGGCAACAGATGTTAGCTCAGGTGCTAATCTTTAAAAAAAAAAATTCAGATACTGAATTCTGAAGAAAAAAATACACAGAAAGCTTTTGTATTTTCAGAGATTTGTGAAGAAACTGCATTCATGATAGATGGACAGATTGCTGTAGAAAAGGATCACAGAACAAAATGAGTTTTTAAAATTATGATTATGATTGCTGAAATTACAAATTCAATTTAAGGGCTATAAAATAAAGTCAAAGAGGTCTCCCAAAAAATAGAGTAGAAAGTCCAAAACAGAAAATGAGATAAAAAAGTGACAGAATAATTCAGTATTATTATTATTCAGTATTCAGTAATATTATACCTAATTAGGAGTTTCAGAAAGAGGTAAGAAGAAATTAGATAAGAAATGATACATGAATACTTTCTCAATCTAAAGCAAGACATGAATGTTTATAGTTTGAAAAGATTCTCCGAATGCCAAGCAGGATGAAAAAACTTCAACCTAGATACATCATTGTGAAACAAAAGAAAACAAGTCAGATCATCTACAAAGGAAGGATAATTAGACTGTTATCAGACTTCTCATTAGCAACTGCAGTTCCCACCTCGGAGTCTTTTTAGGCTCTACTAAACATTTCAGCTCATAAGGCTTTCATCGTTCGCATCTGGTACCTGTGCCCTGAACACAGCAGGGCAACTTCAGGCGTCTCTCTTCTGAGAGAGTCCTTGCAGCAGTCCATGCAGCAGTTCAGCTCAGGTACAAGGAGGTGAGATGACCCTGTGAGTGCAGGAGCTACCCTAGGTTAAAATGCCTCCTAGTCCACAGGAGCCACCATCTCTGGAAACATACTTTTCAGGGTGCCTGCAAGAAACTTGGTCCAGTTATATGAGTCACTACCCTCAGGAAACCCAAAGCGATGGCTTCCTATAAGATAATTATAAATCTCCCAGTCCATAGACAGTTTATCAGTCAGGCGATCCCTTTATCATAAGCAGTGTTGCCAAGCAACGTTACCCTTATAAGATCACTAGGGAAACAGAGCTAGAGATTTAACTAAATACAGAAGGGGAAAAGGATTTTATTAACCCTTCATCCACAGCATTATTGGATTACATTGGAAGATAGTGGGGCAGTTCTATCAAAGTGTTGGGGGAAAATGATTGTAAGTCTATAAATCTAGGCCTCACCAAAGTATCAGTCCAGTAGTTACAAATAGATAGGCAGGAAATCAGAAAATTTATCCCTTACCTATCCTTTTATGAATTCCAGCAAAACAAGGGTAAAAGAAAGGAAGATAATGATGTGTGGTCGTGTAAGAAGGAGTGGGACTCACCTAGGCATCTAAGGAAAAGAAACCCTGGATGACAGCTCTGTGGTAGGCCTAGGAAGTAATAGTTCAAGTGTTAGAACAAAAATCAGTGGATTAAAAAAAAATCAAAAGGAATAGGTAAGATAAATAAAAAGTTAAAGATATTTGTGATATTGTCAAGGAGTATATTTTTTCCTCAAATGGACAAAAATACAATTTGAAGCTCTTGGCTTAAATCTGTATAAAAAAGCCTTGGGTTAAATATAAAATAAGTTTTAAATGGAGCTTGAGTTTGAGATATTGATCATTGGCGTATTACCTATTGGACTCATTTTTAGCTTTTGAGTATTTTTTTGAGCAGTTAACTATTTGTGGAGATCGACACTTGACTTTTATTGCTACTTCAAGGTCTTTCAAAGGACAAAACATTTTTAAACTTTTTTAGGAGGATAAAACTCATTTTATTTTGCAATTACCATATGGGCCCATTGTACTCTTATAAATATAAAATACATTATCAGATCTTTAGTGACCTTATTATTCCTATGTCTTGAACATTTTGCTATCTCATTACTCTAGCACCATTATTTTAACAATTATTTTTAATTGTGCTAAAAATGAGTAAAACTATAAGAAAGAAGAATGATGGGACCACTTAAAATGTTGATATAATAATAAAGTAAATCATTACTATTCTCTTATGTTGCCCAAAGTATTACATCATTATTTAAGAAGGTATAAAAGAAGTTTGGAGAACACACTCTTTGTAGTTTTTTTTTTGTTTTTCATTCAGCGAAGTTGAGAATTCAGAATTTTTTGTTTTCCACCATAAGGGCAAAGAATAATTGACAGAAGAATTTTTGCAGTTATTAGACAAACCAGAAGATGAATGAAAAGAGACAACCCCTGCAGGCTTTAAAGTTGAGGGTGAAATTGAATCATATAAGTGAAATTTCAACACTGGGAATCCTTAGATGCTGATGCTCTAGATTTTCTCGAACTCCTGCATCAATGAGGAACAGTTTATTTCTAAGGACAAAAAGAGAAGGACAGGTATTCTCTTCCAGTTAGTCATTCTATAACAAGGAATTAATCATGCAATGTTTTCCATCAAGAACCTGGACCACCTCTTTTTGCTAAAAGACTGTATGATGGTATTCTTTCATCTTTTATGATACTTGTTTACCAACATTTACTTCATACCATTTTTAAGTGGAGAAATGCTAAAGGCCAGTATGAATATAAAGGTGATTAAAAGGAAATAGATGACATAGAAATGAAAAACTTCATTGGTTTCACCATTGTAATTGGTGTTTATAAATCTAAAAATGAAAATGTTTTGCAGTTATGTTTCAAAGAAGATGAGTATCCTCCTTTAAATAGTTACGAACCATCAGCATTTTCAGAAGCGTTGTGCTTTGAAGAAACAAATATGAAAAGAAGAACCAGAATTGATAAGCCTATAACCTGTTTTAAATGTATTTTAAATTTCAAATCAATATTTATGAGGTGAATTTGTTACAGGTTCATTCATGACAATTGATGAGCAGTTAATTGCGTCTAAAGGATGTCGCCCATTTCACATATATGTATTGTGGTCATCATCATTATCATCATAGATATATATATATATACCTTCAAATCCAGGAATATAGTTTGGGGTTAAAATTCAAATGAAAACTTGTAATGAAGTTTTTCACAATCCATTTTATTCCTCTGCAAATTATTTATAACATGACTTAAGTATAAAATAATGAAAAGGTCCACTGGATTTAGATTGTAAATGATGATGCCTATTTTTCCTGATATAGTGACAGTTAATGGAAGCATAAGAAAAGAGGATTCTCTTTCAACTTAGAATATTTCAAAAGAGAGAAGCAAATGTTAATGATAGCATGTATTTCTTGACTCTTCAGTGTATACTGTTTAGCCAGGGGTATTATAAATGTTATTCGTTGGCTTTCAACTTTTAGAATCAACCTGTAAATAAAGCATGAAAAAGTTAATTATGATTATAGAACAGGGTGCTAATGATATTAAATTAGATCATGCTAAAGCAAAAGTAGGTAACAGAATTTGGGAAGTAGAAGTAGCAGAGGGAATGGTGTTCAAATGAAGAATAGGAATGCTTATGTCCTTATCTGTAGTAGAGTCAAGAGATAATACTTGGAATGGGATGAAAAATAGAGATTTAATTTGAATTTTTTTATCTTACAAAGGGAAACAGTGAAGTAATTAATTTTTTTGTTGTGATAAAAGACACTATAAAATTTACCATTTAATTTAGTTTATATTTTTTGGTGAGGAAGGTTTGCCCTGAGCTAACATCTGTGCCAGTCTTCCTTCATTTTGTATGTGGGTCGCCACCACAGCATGGCTGACAAGTGGTGTAGGTCCACACCCAGGATCTGAACCTGTGAATGCAGCCTGCCAAAGCAGAGCATGGTGAACCAGTACACCATGAGGCCACCCCCCAAATTTACCATTTTAAAGTATATAATTCAGTGAGATAAATAGTTTCAGAATGTTGTGCAACTATCTCCAGTGTCAGAATGTTTTCATCACCCCAAAAGAAAGCTCCATCACCCTTAAGCAGTCACTCCCCATTATTCCTTCTCCCTAGTGCTTGGCAACCACTAAACTGCTTTCTGTCTCTCTGGATTTGCTTATTCTTGATATGTCGTATATCGTAAATGGAATCATACAGTATGTGTGTCCTTTTGTAACTGGTTTCTTTCACTTAGCATAACATTTTCAAGGTTCATCCATGTTGTAGCATGTATCAGTACTTTATTCCTTTTTATGGCTGAATAATACTCTATTGTATTGTTATACCACAATTTCCCATTCATCAGTTGATGGACATTTGGGCTGTTTCCATCTTTTGGCTATTGTGAATGGTGCTGCTGTTAATATTCCTGTACATATTTTTGTCTGAACACCTGTTTAGTTTAGATGAGGAAACTAAACTACAGAGGTGGAGTAATAATAGCTCAGGATAATACAGGTAAAAATTGGTGGAGCTAGGTGTATAAATTTAGGCAGTCTGACATCAGAATCTGTATTCTTTAACCACTATGCTTAACCTGGCAGTTAGTAAGTGTCTAGTAAATGTTAATCAACTTTCCCTTCCTTCTGAGGCCATTTTTGGGTGCTTACAGTATTAATTTTGCATTTTTTTTAGCCTCTATTTTAAGTAACAGCCAACTGAAATTATTGCTGTGGGTGCTGTTTAGTTTATACTTCAATACTCTGTATATATTGGTTACAGTTTGGCTGTAGCAGCAATTCCTGAAGGTCTTCCCATTGTGGTCACAGTGACTTTAGCCCTTGGTGTTATGAGAATGGTGAAGAAAAGGGCCATTGTGAAAAAACTGCCTATTGTTGAAACTCTGGGTAAGTCTGTGGTAAGAGCATACTTATGCAGTGATGTATTTGTTTACATCAACGGCGAATCATCTTTAGATTTTACAGTTTTTTGTCCTAGAGGTTTGCATGGTGGTATTTGGCTTGTGGCAATGTTGAGTATGGTTATAACAACCCAAAAAGGTAATTAAAAATCATATCATATCACATAGCATATCACTCAGAACAGGGGACTTTGAGAGAAGTCTTTCTGCATCATGGAATGTTCTAATGCTTAAATCATGTACAAAAAAAAAAATCCATGTAACAAATGAAACCTTAGGGGAAAATTAATAGAACTTTTTTCTTTTGACATCTCAAGGAAGATAATTGATAATTATAGATCCTAAAATGTCATACTTAAGTTGAATTTGCTGATAAGAACAATAAATACACAATATTGCTATAACTTTATTTGCAGTATGAACATTGCGATAACTTTCTGTATGGTTTGAAACTTCTTTAAATTTAAGAATCCAAAAATGTTGAATTTAATTTCTGATTTACATTTTAATATTGGGAAGGCAAAATTCCTTAAAATGCTGACTAAAAAAATTATATGGGTTCTATTTTGGTACCTTTGAAACTTTCTAGAAAATGTATTATATAAAATTACCATATAAAGCTATTGTTGAGTAGCTTTGTAGAAATTTAACTGTAAGTAAATAAGAAAAAGTCAACATGTATCAGTATCTAATTTTTAATTTTAATTTCAGCAACTACCTTATGATGAAGCAATAATAACGAGTTTGATTTGTACAACATTCGGAGAAGCAGGACAGGCTTCCAGAGTTTGATTTGTTTTCAAGTGTGAACTTGTATTTCTCCCTGACTCTCTTGGTGACACAAAATGATTTATTCTTTAGGCTGCTGTAATGTGATTTGTTCAGATAAAACTGGAACACTGACGAAGAATGAAATGACTGTTACTCACATATTTACTTCAGACGGTGTGCATGCTGAGGTACTCTATAGATGTTTTCCTTAATGGCAGTATTCCTTTGATAAGAAACTTGGTGTTTAACATTCCTAATGATTCCAGTGTCTTACCTTCGGAAGGGCTGTAAATTAGTCGGCAACAGAGCTTTTTCCTTCCCATGTGATTCTACCAAATCTTGATCCTATTGCACTTGTATGCTCCAGTTGTACAGTCCAGAAACTTTGAATCCTCCATGGCACCTCTCTTTCTATCACCCCTACATCCATTCATTACCGAACTCTGGATGTCCGTGCTCTGTACACAGCTTGAGGGATCTTTTACAGCCGAATTTTGACCCTGTCACTCCCTAAATTAAGATGCTGCAGTGGCTTTCCTTTGTGACCAGGATCTCAAAGTGTGACATCTCAAGGCCCTACGTAGTCTATCCCTTATTTCCTTCTTCAGCCTCATATGCTGTCCTTTGCTTGCTGTGTATCAAACACACTGGCCGTGGTTCTTTCAGTGTGACAAAATTCCTTCTGCTCCAGGACCTTTGCTGCTGTTCTCACTGCTTAGGACAGTCTAATGCCTCTTCATCTTTTGCACCTCAGTTCCAACCCTAATTTTTCAGAAAAGCTTTGCTGACCACCCAGAACTGGCCCTGTGCTATATGTTTTCATAGCACTCTATACCTCTTAGTCCTTAGCTCAGGGAAAATTTTCTGTCCCTCTTTGCATTATACTATAAGTTTACTGGGCAGGAACTGTGTTGTCTGACACAGGACCTGCCTCATAGTATTAAACTTGTTGGAAGAATAAATGAATGATGAGTTACTTTATTTAAAATAATGTATTGGCAGTTTCTTAAGTGCATGTCAGTGGATGTGCATTGTTTATTTTTGAGGCTGAGTGAGGATAAGTCCCAATCTCACTTAGTCTTGGCAGGATTTCTGGCTGGAATGTTCATTAGCACTACTTATCATTATAGTATTTTAAAATGTATTTATAGCTAATTCACTGAGCAAAGTAAGCATTAGAGAAATTGACAGAAGTTGTACTTAGGTTTATTTAATTTCATTTTACATAGGCCTTAAAATAAGACTATTGATATTTAGAGTGTTACATATGGTTAAGGATACCCAGTGCTGTGTTGTTGAATGTACCTTTTCTGGATGACTCAGAAGGGTCATTGGGATTATATGTCCATATATGGTCCGTGTATGGAAGGTAGGGTATGTAAATTTCTCTTTTGTTTTAGCCCGTAAGTGTATGTGTCAAGCATTGACCATTTGTTAATTTCTAAGATGTCTTTTTTTGTTGTGAAATTTAGCTTTTGTTTGGCTTGGTTTGTTTTAGCTATATGGGATAAATATCTGGCTTGTTTCTACTTTGCAGTTTTTAAAATTGACATATAATATGCTATGTTAAAGTAGTTTGTAAGCACTAGAGTAAATCACTTAATGTCTCTGAGCCTGCATATTTGCAAAAAGAGTTCTGCTTTTGTCTAAGTCACAGGTTTGTCTTGAATGATAGATGGGGTAATGGATTTGAATTCTTTGCAAAGTGTATTATGTTATATAAATAGATTGTTATATAAATTTAAGCTCACTTATGTATAGAAATTTTCATGGTTTATCCTTTTTTTAATAGAATATCATAAGTGGAAACAATGTAAGATTATATTATACTAGCAATTATAGTCTTTCTCTGTAAAATATACTATACATTATTATAATTATTAATATAATTAATTTTTATTATAATTAACTATAGGTTTATCATTGTGGTAAAAATTAAAATCTATATTCTTTTTTTAAGTATTCTTTTAGACAAACAAATGCTTTTCTAGGTCTACACGCTAACTATCATGATGTGTAAAATGTATTGAACACAACTCATCATAGTTTTCGGTTTTCATAAGCATTGTCATAATACATACTGGTTGTATTACTGACCCCACTTTATGTTCCTTAGGTTACTGGAGTTGGCTACAATCCGTTTGGGGAAGTAATTGTTGATGGTGATGTCGTTCATGGATTCTATAACCCAGCTGTTAGCAGAATAGTTGAGGTAAATACTTTATACTCTAAGAAGGTGACTTTCTTCATAATGAATTAGGACACAGTAATGGCTTCATAGTTTATGTATATTTCTCTTAGGCAGGCTGTGTGTGCAATGATGCTGTAATTAGAAACAACACTCTAATGGGAAAGCCAACGGAAGGAGCCTTAATTGCTCTTGCAATGAAGGTATGTGCCTGATCTCTGTTCTTTGGCATATGAGACATCATCCTCACAAGAGAATGTGAGGCCATAAATTTCACTATTACTGGTTTTTAGATGTAGAGTGAAGAAGACTCATAATATTTCATTGTTTTTACTGCCTTTTGTGAACCAGTTTTATTCTTCCTGGAAATACAGAGCATAGAGCTTTTTCAGTGTAACTCTATCCCTTACATGCAAGATACAAACTAATGACCAGTGATCCATTTCTTCTTATGAAGAAGTGTTTCCGTCTTCCATAAAATTTAGAATTTTGTGCAAAAAGGTTTATAAATGTGTGTAATTGCTGATAAATACTAACTTTCAAATGAGGAAAAGGCAATATTCTTTAATATTTCCATGTAAAGATATTAAGGCCATCACAAGAGATAGCTTTTCTTTTTCCAGTCTTCCCTTTCCCTCTGTTATCAATTTCTTAAAATGAGTGTAGACTTAGAATTTGTAGTGGGGAGATGGGGTGCTGTTCTCGGTGACTATTTCATTGATCCCAATTGATCTCCTCTTCTCCTGAGTCCTACATTTGATTAAATGAGAAACCTAAAAGTCCAGTCTGTCACTCCCATAACAAAAATAAAATTCCTACTTTTAAGAGCAGTCTTAGAAAGCTTTGAGACTTGTGTGAAACAGGATGTCTCTAAATGAGCTTGCTTGAATTGAGATCCAATGTAGAAATGTAGGTTGTTATAACATTTAATTTAATAAAATAAAATTCATATTTTTAGAATGTATATGTTTCCTTAACAGAAAGCTACATTTCTTTATCATTTCTTCTTCTTGTAACTAAAATAGCATAGTATAGCTTTTTAAAAGATATTCAGAAGTATCTGTTAACGCATATTTACTGTGTTATACATAATCATCTCTTTGAGGGATAAGAGTGTGAACCACATCCTTATGGGGGGACCTCACATTTTAGGTAGGGCATTGACACCGAAGTGCTTGGAACAAAGAAAAGGTCGACCAAGATAGTAGACAATTAAGTCCTAAACATTGAGCCACATGTAAAAACAATGGAAATTCAGACTTAGGATCTGGGCTTTGAAGGATAGGAAGGATTTAGATAGGAGATAAGCTAGGGAAAGAATAAGAATAAAAGCATGGAGGAATACATAAGCATAGAATGGATTGTGGCTTATGAATTGGTTAACCTGAATAAAATGAAAGGAGTTTGAGTAACTCAGAGGATTTTAATTGGGTGTATGGTGGGTTTCTGGAGGACCTTTGAAAGACAGGAAGAAGAGCCTGAACATGTTTTAAAAGATAACAAAAAGCAATAAACTAGGTTTTTGGGTAGTTTGAGAAAGTATTTATGAATATTTGAAGGAAAATGCAAAGGGTATTGGGAGAGAGAACAGCTACATGACATTGGTAGTCAGACTATCAAGTGGTAGGGTGTAAGGGAATAAGATAACAACAGGCAAGATAGATTTGAATCCCTAAGAAGAGAGGAATTGAATCTGAAGCTTCTATTGATTATAAAAGTACATGCTTAGTGTTGCTTGGGTACCTTTATTTGTATCCTGCTTTCTTCCAGAATTTGAGCCAGTAGAGATTTTAATATATTCAGTATTGAAAATCTGGTCTACATACAGGCCAGGTAGCGTGCCTTAGACTGTATCTATATACCCAGGCTTTCGTGTTGAACATTTGTGTTGCTGTTCAGAGAAATACAGTATATATGGATGGAGCACTGCTATTCTATCACCATTATTTGAAAAATAATCCAGGTATCTGTAACTAGACTAGCTGCAAGTTATTACCTTTGTTCTTTGTTAAAGGAAAAAATAGTCACATGTCAGTGAGAATTAACTTTGTTTTTGTGCCATATAGATGGGTCTTGATGGACTTCAACAGGACTATATCAGAAAAGCTGAATATCCTTTTAGCTCTGAGCAAAAGTGGATGGCTGTTAAGTGTGTACACCGAACACAGCAGGTATCCTTTCATTTAAAGAATACTTACTATATCTTGTTTAGCATAGATGACTATTTTTCATTTACTATTCACCTTTAGATTTAAACAGTCAGTGAACATGAGACCTGTTGCTTTAAAGTGTGTGATTTATAGTACACTCATCCATTGTTATTCTTATGTTTTAATTCATGCATAGGTTCTTCAGTTTTGCTGTGTGAGCAAACAACTTAAACGAGTTGAGCCTGGCCTCAGTCTCTTAGAGCCTGCAATATCAGATTCTTTTTTTTCTTTCTTTCTTTTTTTTTTTTTAATGAGGAAGATTGGCCCTGAGCTAACATCTGTTGTCAATCTTCCTTTTTTCTTTTTTTTCCCCTCTCCAAAGCCCCAATATCTAGTTGTAAGTCATTCTAGTTCTTCTATGTGGGATCTTGTCACAGCATGGCTTAATGAGCGGCACATAGATCTGTGCCCAGGATCTGAACTGGTGAACCCTGGTCCGCCAAAGCAGAAAGTTCAGACTTAACCACTTGGCCATGGGGCTGGCCCCTGACATCAGATTCCTTTAACATCTTTTTTGTTCTTGATGACAGTCTCTGCTGATTGTCTGTTGTTGATCTGTGTTCTTTCACTGAAGGAATGTCTTGTCTTCAGAACAAACAAAGCTACTTTATTTTGTGGAAAAGTGGTTACCAAATGTGTATAATTCATGTTAGTTGATCCAGCTTACCAAGTGGCAAATTGACATGCACTGATAGTTCAAGCTACTACCTTGTTCCTGGGTGTTTTAGAAATTTTTACACAGTGTAATAAGAGTTATTAGATATCTACAGTTATAATTATATCACTCATAGTTGCTATTACCACCTTGATGTTTAAACTTACTTTGCCCTTGAAAATACATATTTGTTATTTTTACATTTCCTTTATTAGGAACTCATAATTGTTCATGTGTTTTCATCTGTGAGCAAACACTTTGAAACCAGTTATATCTCTGTACACAGGAATGAGTGAGAGAATTCCCCCTCACCCATTATAAATAGGAAACATACAGATTTAAAAAAAAAAAGGCCAAGATGGTCAACATTGTGAGTAGAAGTCTGCCAGGAACTCTGTTCATGAGGGGAAAAAAGATTCCTGTTTAATCTTTAAAGGAAATTTTATAAACTCCTGGCAAGAGAGAGAATTAAAAATGAAACTATAAAAATAAAATGACTGTCACTTAAACCTTGTGATGTAAAGCTTTCAAAAATTGCATTAGAGTTAGATAATTTTTAGTTGATGTCCCTTGACGATATACTTATATAGTATGAATACCTATATGAGTTTATTTGGAAGGTCTGTTTCCTTACATTTTATATACGATCACACAGCATTTCAAGATAATATGGCTCATGTAAAGTTTAATAATTTGACTTCAGCAATTTTGAATCTAACTTCACCAAAGTTGTACATTTGGAAGTTGTACATTGAATCTTCTCCATTTTGGGAATGGGGGATAGGGAGTGGCAGGATATAAGTTCAGAAAGATTGGTGTGGTTATTCTTCCTATTTGCTGACCTGAAGATTAACAAAACCAACCAATGTAACTAATAAAACCCAAACCCACTGACGTGACTCAGGATATAGAAGAGATCAGCCCGGCACAGATATGGCGAACTTTCCAATTTAAAAACAACCCCAGTGGCTCAAATAGTTTGTCTTTAGAGGACTTTCATTTGAACGTGACAATATGCATTTATCTCTGTTCTTTCGCTGGAAGCTACCAAAATGACAACCAACAAATAAAAGATATAAACTAAAAAAGAGAAGTATGGGAAAGGCTCCAGGTTGACAGATATCAGGGACTAAGGCATAGGGCTAAAAACAGGAAGTCAGGTTGAAATTGAGTAAGGAACCAATAGAACTCTTCCAAGTACGTTTTCTGTTTTTTGAGGCCAGACCATTAGTCATTCTTCACCCCTGTAGAATATCAAAAATCTCATCTTGGGGAAGAGAGTGGAAGGCAGAATTAAGGCTTAAGACTGAAAACAGGGTGATTAAGGCAAGTGATTATCCTAAAGTGTAAGCTGCTAGGCCATAACTCTGCCTTCTCAGAATTCCTGCAGGTAGGTATCTCCCTACCCTCATTCTCTAAGTCGGAAGACTGATGAGGTTTAGAGAAGCAGACTGGTCCTAGCGAGATTCCAACAATACAGAGTATCCCTGACTAAGCTCTTTGTTCGTGGTAGGGCTTACCTACTCCTGGGCTTCATCTCATCACCCTTCGGCAAGGGCCACAAGTTGATACACTCTGCCAATGCCCTTGGAGCTGCTGGACCTTTAGTTGCTTCAGTCTTGAATGTAAATGAACACTCAGGGATTGCTAGATATTTGGGGAAAGTCTTCAGTGTGAAAGACACAGACCAAACCAAGAGAAAGGGGTCTCAGAGAAACAAAGATAATGGTGGATGCTGAAGAAAATTTCCAAAGACCATAGCAAAATAACAACAAAATACTTTACAAATAGAACGTTTTCAAATAAAGTTAAGGAATCTATCAGAAAGTAGAAAATCAAACAGGTGGACAGTATAAAAGATAAAGTATGAAACTCAGTAAATAAAGGAGATCCAACATCCACCTAATAGTGGTAACAGGAAGTAGAGAACAGAAATTGGCAAGATTTTATCAAATAACATCAGAAAATTTTCCAGGGGAAAGACTTAAGCTTCTAGGATAAATTGCCCACCAGCTGCTCAGAGTGGCGGGGTGAGGAGATAAACACAAGGCCCGTAATAGAGAAATTTGAGGACACACGGAGCATTCCGAAAGCTTCCAGAGGTTTTGGGGCAGGAAGGAGGGCCGGGGGAGAGTATATATACACAAAGGCTTAGGAATTAAATGGCTTATAAATGCAACACTGGGCCCCGGAGGCTGGAAGATGATAGAGGAAGGCCGTCAAATGAGAGGAAGTTTACTCCCAGCTGAATTTACAAGTGTAGGGATAGAATAAAAATGTTTTCAGACATTCCAAGTCTCAAAATGTATATCCCACACACTTTTTCTTAGAAGGGCCCTGGTGGATATATTATTCCAAGATAAAAAAATAAACTAAGAAAAGGACGACTTAGAACCCAGTGAGTTGTAACCAGGGGAGAGGTGAAAGAAATCCCCAGAGTAGAGGTGAAGGGAAGTTGTTGGATACCAGTCATGCAGCAGACCTAGAAATCAGCCAACTCAAATTAGTGAAGGAAAGGAGAACAAGACTCAAGGAGACAGGTCTTCAGTAATAATATGGGAATGATAACTTACCTGCTAATTTGGTCATGTGAAAAACATCATTGAGAAGGGCTGTATCGGGAGTAATTAGTAATAGGTATAAAGAAAACTAAGCAAATAAAAGAAGAGGCAGTTATTAACTTTACAAAAGATAAAACTTGAATGGGAAAAGAAATGTATTTGATTTATGTAGGCCAAGGAAACAGCATCATGCCTTCCTCCTGCCTCTCTGTCCCCTAATATCTGCCTGCTAGTTACTTGGGGGCCCAGGCAGATGGAAGCTCTGTCTCAGTGTGAGGACACACTGTCAAAGCAGGGCCAGAGGAATAGCACATTTTGAACTGGTTCCTAAATTTCCGTTTAGTGCTAAAGTTCCGTTTAGCACTAAAGTTCCATTTAGCAGTACAAGTACTGCTCATATTTATTGGCCAAAGCAAGTCCCAGCTGACTTCAAAGTGGGGGGCATACATTCCTACCATGTGCCTGCAAAGAGAACTGGGATGTCTCTGAACTGTCCCAGTGACTACCGCTTTGCACAGCAGTGAGGAGTCATCAGGCGAACAGGGTACTGACAAATTTTGCTTTAACTATATTATAAAGGTGGGGAGAGGAGGAAGATTTAGTGGGGATGGCCAGGCTATCACCTGTCACAATAGACAGTGTATAAAATTGATAAGTGAAAAAGTAGCAGTATAAATGTATTTAAAAATGTGGAGATAAATACCAGAGAAAACAGCTAAAAAACCTTAAAATTGATTTGTTTCTGTGGAGTAGGACTAGAGGTGAGAAGGTTGGGCAGGGAACTACAGAATTTCATTGTAAGCTTTTGTATATTACTTTACTAGGATAAAAAAAGAAAAAGTCTGACAATACCCATAAGTACAAGGTGGTTGTGAGAATTAAATGGGATCACATGTATGTGTATAATAGCTATAGAAAGCCTGAACCATTGCCTGTTGGGCTGATGTTAGATCTCTTTGCTTTCCCTGTTATGTTGTGAGCCTCTCCCCAAATCTCAGAGTGCCTAATCCGGGGCTTAGTGTAGCATTGCCTTCAGTGTGTGTGGGTGAGAGTAGGGAGTAGATACTGTTTTCTATCGAGAGTACAGAAAGCTCCCAAATATGAACTTTTAATCTGCAGAGTTTAAGTGCTACTCACATCCTTAGGCTTGAGTAACTTCCCTGGGTATTGCATGCCACTTGTTTTTGGATTCCAGTGGCAGATATGTACAAGTTGAAATTAACTTCAATTTATTTGCTGTGTTTTTTCTTCTTAGGACAGACCAGAGATTTGTTTTATGAAGGGTGCTTATGAACAGGTGATTAAGTATTGTACTACGTACCAGAGCAAAGAGCAGACCTTGACACTCACCCAGCAGCAGAGAGATCTGTACCAACAAGAGAAGGCACGAATGGGCTCAGCAGGGCTCAGAGGTAAGGCCATTTCAGCATAGTCCCCTAGAGTGGAAAGGTAAAAAGACGGTATTCTTTTAACTACAGATAAATTTGTGCTTCACATCTGAGCTGTCCAACTCTCTTCTGGGCTTTGTGGAGCCCTGCCGTTTGAGAAGTGTTATGTTTTAGTTGGCTAATTGGCCCTCAAAACATGGGAAGTTGGGAATGTAGCAAAATATGAACTCTCTTCTTCTTAGAGACCTGCAGTGGTCTTTGAGTAGGTGACAGAAATTTTATTTTAGACAAATTTATCTTTTGAGAAGGGAGGTGGATAGAAGTGAAGTGATGTTACTTCCTTATTTCATCACTTTGACTATCTTATTTGTTAATAAATCTAAAATACTTTCCTAAATATTGAAGTCTTAAGCCTCTAATTTGTCCTTTAAACTAAGGTAATTGCTTACTTGTTCCTCATCTGCTGACTTCCTTCCCTTGCTGTTCACCAGAGAGGTAAGGAAGTGCCCAGGTTCTGCTTGTGTATATGTTGCTGACCTGAACAGTGTGGGGAGAGAGGATCTCCTCTGCACACATGCTCAGGCCACTTCTCCTAGGGCACCATGTGTAGGATTGAAGAGGCAGAGGTCAGGGCCATACTTGGCTTGCGGGGAATATATGTACTTATGTAGTCCCTCTCAAGGAAATTGGAAGAGTTGGCTTCCTTAATTTTATTATTTTTACAAACTGGAAGTCGAACACTTCAATTCCTGGGAGGAGGAAACGAGTTATGTGAAAAATATTCTTATTGATGGTTCACTTAAGGGCTTTCTGTGGGTATAAAACATTTGGATAGATTTGCAGGACTTCTGCTCTCATAGTAAGCTAGGTTTATAAAGGTATCCTTGTGGCTTTATGTGAGGGCAGAGTTTTGTTATTCTTAGCAGCTCACAGCAGGAGGGTTTCAGAGTTGCCTTGGATTTAGAGACTCTCAAGAAGTCTTAAAGGTCTGATATGCACTCCCTTTTTCCTTAATTTTTGTATTGGAGGTTTGACACTTTTTAATTTTGACTAACTCTTCGTCTGAAGGATTGTGGAGGTTTGTGTATGTGTGCTTTGGTGTTGTAACATCGTTAAATAGACCAGGGTTGGTAGCAGGGAAACAATCGGGTGTTTCCCAGGGCTTTGGGAGGCACTCTGGTTCTTTGTCTTTTGCTGTATGTCTTTTCCTCTTCCTCTCCCTGTGCTCTGTTTTCCTCCTCCCCCTGAAATTACCATAATGAAGAACAGAAAGATTTTCAGTTTAACTTGATAAGTACTTATCTTGCATCTATAAAACTTAAGTCTCTTAAAATGTATGTGGTCCTTAATTTTGAAATTGAGTGTCTTTTTATGTTTTAGTCGGCGACCCTCCACATAACAAAGGTCTACCTTACCCTTGTCGCAAACATTAGCGCTAGATCTTCGTTTGTGCTAAAGAAGCAAACAAATAAATAAATATGGGATTCTAACCTCTAGGCTGATACCACCCTTCCACCGAGTGCCAAGAGCTGATCTCCCTCTCTTAGGATTTGTTGACACACAAATTGATACTCACTGTCCCCTTCTGTTGCTGTCTGTCTCTGTTCCAACATGAGGGACTGTCAAGTGCTCATTCCTTCCAGGGTGAAAGCCTTTGGGGCCCACATTTACAGGAATAGTTAGGTATATGATTCTTACAGGGGAAAAATAGAAGTTATTTGCCTCTAACCTTGGTTTTCCAAATATATCTAATTCTCCATACCTTCTGCTTGAATAAGAATTGATACTTCCCATGATCTCTCTGAGACTTTTTAGTTTCTCCATGAGATACATATGTTTAGTTTGTGTACTTTTTTTGTGTTTTCTCTTCAGAGAGTCGTTCAGTGTAATACTATCCCAGGTGGATATCCGTTTGGCTCATAAGACAGCTACCAGACGTTCCAGAATTCTGAGACTCATTTATCATATAAATGATATTTGGAAAGGAATAGTACTTTGTGCTGTATCTTAAGTGCCCAGGGATGACAGGAAACTATAAATAATGATATGGTGATGTTGTTTATATACTCTTAGAAAACCAATTTTACAAATAAGATACCTGTTAATGTTATGTAGAGAGTAAAAGAATCCAAACTATCGTTGGTATTAGTGGTTTTACAATCACTTTACAGATTAACTTTATTTCCCAGGGTTTGTCATGTACAAAATTGTTACGTGTTGTGTATAGTTAATGTAGCCTTCTTTTCGAGCTATGGAATTGTTCTGGAGACCTATAAAATAGAAAGATGAAGATACATTAGTAGAAGCCACCTTGAAAGGTGTCTATTTAAAAGGACTTTAAATCTCAGCAAACCTATAGTTTCTCCAGATAATTGATTGTATTTTCTAAAGAGCCAGTAGGTCGTGTTGAAAGGAGCTGTATGTAGTTACTAAGTGAAAATATTCTTTTCACTCCTCACTTGTCCTTCTCTGCTTAACAGTTCTTTATTCTTATTGCTTTTAATTTTTAATAGCTTAAAGCATCCTCATATCTAGAACCATTAAACTCTAACGCCTTAGCATGTAATAATTTTGGTTTTTAAAGATTATATAACTACAATGACATTATAATCTTAAATGATTTATTTGAGAGGTGTTATTGTCTCCAGCTTTTGTCAAGTAAATTCTAATGTTTTTGTGACTCACATTTACCTTTTTGGATTTTATTATTTCCTAAGTTCTTGCTTTGGCTTCTGGTCCTGAACTGGGACAGCTGACATTTCTTGGCCTGGTGGGAATCATTGATCCTCCTAGAACTGGTGTGAAAGAAGCTGTTACAACACTTATTGCCTCAGGAGTATCGATAAAAATGATTACTGGAGACTCACAGGAGACTGCAATTGCAATCGGTATAACTAGGCTGCTTCCTTTTGTTTTTGATAGTTTTTCTTAAATTACTGCAGTGCATAGTTTTGTGAACCATTAGATATGAAGTGTGTTTACATAATACTGAGATTATACAATTAAAATTAACTCTTTTGTTTGCTCAAACTCTATATAAAATTGTGGGCAAAATTTAGTTTAAAAAGTAATACTAGTAATTGAAAATGTGTAACTAAATCATTATGAAATCACATATGTATTTTATACACAAAAGGATAGTTGTTTATTTTAACCTCATAATCCACCATGCTGACAGATAAAAGCATTAGATCATGAATGTGAAAGAAAAAATGACATTTAGTTTTCCCTTTCAACTTGCGTATACTTTTTAAAGCAAACTTGTACCTAATTTGAACGAAAATAGCTTGTTTCTATATTTCTGTTGTCTCATCATATATATGCTTATGTTGTTTGACTGCCATTTCAGATTGCCTTAAGTATAAGTAAAAAAAATGCGTATGAAAGTTAATCTCCCAGAGCCTATAAACTATAATTCATACTGATAAATTTAAACAGTTTGCAAAAGTCCATTAATTCTGATTTTATTAACGTGGAGAGAGACTGGGACAGGAGTTTCACACTTTACGTTACCTAAGAAGAGTATGACACTAGAAACAGAACATTGTTGGGAAGATTATACCTAGAAAAGCTTATCAACATTTATTTTCATTTATATACAACCACGTGATTACCACAGATCCACCACCATTTTGTCTGGCTTTGGATATTTTACTTAAAATGTACTCTGTCTTCATTAAAATTGAGCTGCTGAGTGGAACCTGATTGGCCTTGTTTCAGTTCTTAGGTATGGTGGGCTAAATTGTGAAAACTGTATTCTTAAATTAAAAATATATAAAACAGTCAAACAGAAAACTCCAGACTACTTACCAACCCAGATAGTTTTGTCTTACCAGTAGTTTGTCATGCGATCTCTTGATATAAAGATATTTTATACATAAAAAGGGAGTGGATAACATGTCATATTAGGTGAGCATTATGTTGACTAGCCTGTCAAGCAAACCCCATTGGTTAATTATATTTTCTCTCCCATTTCACTTTAGCTAGTCGTCTGGGATTGTATTCCAAAACTTCCCAGTCAGTCTCAGGGGAAGAAATAGACGCAATGGAGGTCCAGCAGCTTTCACAAATAGTGCCGAAGGTAGGCCTAAACTAAAGCCTTTGAGACTGAAAGGGCTTTTTCTAAGTGTTGCCATTTCTCCTGCTATTTTAATGAAACTGTTATTCAAATTTGTTGGTCCAAATCATGAATCTTATCGTTGAAATCAGACCTATCATTGAGATTATTTATGATGTGATCATTATGAATATCAGTGCAAGAACTAAGTTTCCTCTGGGCAAGCTACTATGGAAATTAACAGTGATCTTTTGTATTTATAAAGTACAGAGTGGAGGGAAACCATTGCTTTATACTTCTTACCCTTTTGTTGTATTTTAATTGTAGCATCAGTATGTAACGCCTTTTTAAAAAATTAAATTATCATTTACATACAGTAAAATTCACCCTCTTTAATGTACAGTTCCAAGTTTTGACAAATACATGTGGTCTCATAACCATCACTACAGTCAGACTATAGAACAGTTCCCCCTATACCCCAAAATTCTCTTGTGCCTTTTATGGTCAACTCCACCCTCTACTTCTAATGCTTGGCAAACTACTGATTTTTTTTTCCCTGTCCCTGTAGTTTTGACTTTTCTAGAATGCTGTAAAAATGGAATCATGTGGTATGAGGCCTTTGAATCTGCTTCTTTCATTTAGCATAGTGCGTTTGAGATTTATCCATGTTGTTTGTGTGTATTAGTAGTTTTTTTTTTTTATTGCTGAGTAGTATTCCACTGTATGGGTGTATGTTACCTATTCACCAGTTTAAAAACATGTGGATTATTTCTAGTTTTTGCCAATTGTGAATAAAGCTACTCTAAACATTTGTGTATAGATTTTTGTATGAAAATAAATTTTTATTTCTCTTGAGTATACCAAAGAGTGATTGCTGGATTATATGCTTAATGTATGTTTAACTTTGTAAGAAACTGCGAAGTTGTTTTAAAAGGAGGCTTTATTATTTTAGATTCCCACTAGCAATGTTTGAAAGTTCTAATTACTCTGCATCCTCACCAGCACGTGGAATTGTCAGTTTCCCCATCTCCCAGTCTAATTGGTATTTGGTGGTATCTTATTATGGCTTTAATTTGCATTTCCCCCCATAACTAATAATGTGTGAGTATCTTTTTGTGTGCTTATTTGCCATTCATATATCTTGCTTGGTGAAGTGTCTGCCCTGCCTACTTTTTAAAAATTGAATTTATTTTCTTATTGAATTTTGAGAGTCCTTTATATATTATGGTACAAGTCCTTTATCAGATTATTAGATTTGAAAATATTTTTTCCCAATCTGTGGCTTATCTTTTTATTCTTTTTTTTTTTTTAAGATTTTTAAAAATTTTTTTCCTTTTTCTCCCCAAAGCCCCCAGGTACATAGTTGTATATTCTTAGTTGTGGGTCCTTCTAGTTGTGGTATGTGGGATGCCGCCTCAGTGTGGCTCAATGAGCGGTGCCATGTCTGTGCCCAGGATTCGAACCAACGAAACCCTGGGCTGCCTACAGCAGAGCTCGAGAACTTATCAACTCAGCCACGGGGCCGGGCCCCTTTTTATTCTATTAGCACTGTATTTCAAAGAGCAGAAGTTTTAAATTTTGATGAAGTCCACTTTATCATTTTTTCCCTTTATGAATCATGCTTTTGATGTCTTATCCAACTCTTTGCCTAATCCAGGGTCACAAAGATTTTTTTCCCCTATATTTTCTTCTAGAAGTCTTTTTTTTTAGGTTTTACACTAGGGTCTGTGATCCATTTTGGATTAATTTTTGTATATATTGTGAGAAATGGGTTAAGGTTCTTTTTTGTTGCATGTGGATGTTCAGTTGTTCCAGCACCATTTGTTGAAAAGACTGTCCTTTTTTGTTTTTTAGTTTAAATAAATTTTTTTAAAAACTCCTTTTTTCATTGAAATGCCTTTTTACCTTTGATTGTAATGCATTTCTAATAAATTATTTATAGGAACAAAACAGTATTCCTGTCCCACAAAGTAGCTTCTTTAGAGCCAAGTTCCCTGGTGTGAGATTAACTTATTTTATCTTGGAATGCTTTTTGGGGGCTTAACAAAGCCTGATTTGTGAGTACACAAGTCCCGTAGAAAGAGCCCCTATGAGGTAGGCAGCATTCTTGCATACAAGTTGTTAACAGTTCAGATTTTTTTGTTCTCAGTGTTAGATCACCTGCTTTTGCACGTATATTTGTACATCCTTTAAAATAAATGCTTATCATTTGGCATTTGTTAGCCATTTTCTAGCAATCTGTTGACCATAATAAAATGTGCTACCTGTTTTACTTATTTAATGCTCACAAGTGCAAGTTCTATATTTAGAACACTGAATTTTCTTAAGTTATTTCCACATCTTAATTTAAAGCTTATCTTTTCTTGTTGTTGTTTTTTGTTGGTGAGGAAGATTTGCTCTGAGCTAACATCTGTTGCCAGTCTTCCTCTTTTTTTTGCTTGAGGAAGATTAGCCCTGAGCTTACATCTATGTCAGTCTCCCTCTGTTTTGTATGTGGGTTGCCACCATAGCATGGCTTGACAAGTGGTTTATATCTACACCAGGGATCAGAACCTGCAAACTCCGGCTGCTAAATTAGAGTGTGCTGGACTTAACCACTACACAACAGGGCCAGTCCCAAGCTTGTCTTTTTATAATACTTTTTTCTGACTAGAAAATTTATTCATTAGTAGTGTATGCTCATTGTAGAAAAATTGGAAAACTGAGAAAAGTAAGAGCTACAATGCAAGCTGCCTGTAATACAATCCAGATATTCAGAGGTTATATATCTACAGAGCATCCAAAATAATAAAATAAGTTAACCCATGTCTTTTTTAAATGTGTTTAACAAAACCAGTTGGGAATTTATAGTGTTATAAAGCTGAACATTCGTTTTATATAACTTCAGCATTCCTGAAGTCATTACTTATTATTGTGAAATATGTTTTTTAATAGGTGCACAATATTTTGCTTTGGTATACTGTGTATGTATAAACACACCGCAAATTTATGGTTATATAACTATTTTCTTGTTGAAATTTGAGCTTTTATTTCCCTTTTCTCCTGTAAATAATATTTTAAGGATAATAACAGTAGCAGCCATTTATCATGTGCCAGGCAATGCATGTAATACATACATTATCTATTTATACTTGATAAAAGAAAGGTAACCTCATTTTTACAAATGGGGAAATTGAGGCCCAGAGAACTTGGGAGACTTAACTGAAGTCTCAGGGCTGTGAGTGGTAGCATTGGCACTGGGACTGGAACTCAGGTCTGTGTGACTCCAGAATTCATCATCTGTCGCTGACTGATTCATTGAACATTACTGTACATAAGAGTTTGTGCTTATCGCTGGTGATTTCTAGAGATTAAATTCCTCCATGTGAAGTGATTGGACCAATGATCAACACATTTGTAAAGCTCTTAATGTGTTGATGAATTGTCCTCTGAAAAGGTTTTCGTTTCTGTTTCTACAAACTGGACCTCATATGGTAGCATTAGGTGCCTAGACCTGTAGCCTCATTTGCAGTTAGATTTTAGATGTAGTTACTAGTAGAAATGCACTATTTTGCTTGTCCACGTTTTCTCCTTCTCAAGTTCTGATCACTCATGACTGCTATTTTCAGAGCATCTGGCAGCAGTGTGGGTGTTTGCTTTGTTTTAAATTTAGTGGGGAAGGTGTTTCCGTATTTGGGTGAACTTTTTGTGTGTCCTATCCTGATAGTTTCTTCCTGACATTTATTTCTGAAAGAATAAATCCTGTATTAGGTTCCCCGGGGGTATTGGGATAGGGTATACCTTAGTAAATATATGTGAAATCTGCAGTTAATTAAACATTTTCCCGTTAGACATTCATTCAGCCTTTTCCCAGAGATGTTAACGAGTAGTGAAAGTGACGGATTTGAAATTTCATTTTATTTGCTTTCTTCAGTTCACTCTCTGGCTCTTAAGAATGCTAATGAACCCTTAAAACCAACTTAAAGATAGTTGGAGAAGGAAGAAGCAAATTACAAATTACATCATCAGCCTGGACACATGACATCATTGGTCTTTTCCATAGAAGAGTTTTTATGCATTAAGTATGGCAGATACCCTGATGCTGTTCCAAAGAGACTAAAACAATATAAAACCTAAGCCTTTGAGAAGCTCATCGAATTGCTTAAAGTCATCCTACTCTAAAGAGGAATTTCATATATACCAGGGCTTCCTTCCAAGTATTTCATGTCTTTTGAATACCTAAGTCTTTTTCCCCAAATATTATTAATGAATTTTTTAGTCTTTCAAGCTTAGCTGGACTCCCCACCTCCCTGTGTCCCCCACTATCCACTATCCACCAGAACTTTGTCTTTTTCCCCACTTCACCTTGTGTTCATGTAACTCTTTTATAGGCAACATGCATACTTGGTCTTATGCTTTTACTTCAGATCACTTTGAATGGCTTTTCTTTTATTAGTGTTAAAAACAAAAACTTTTCTTCTGAATTGCCAGCTGTCTGAGGTTTTCCCATTTGTACTAAAATCGTATTAATTCCGTTCCTCATAAAAATGTTTTCCAGCTTTGTCTTTCCATAATTTAATCACACATTCCAGATCTCTTAACATTGCTCTGTCCTTTTGATCTAGAGTCAATTAAAAAGTAGTATAGAAACTGAATTTTACTTAATTGTTGTGAAGTCCATCTGGGAGTTCTCAATGTTTTGTTTTGTTTTGTTTTTGAGCAAGATTAGCCCTCAGCTAACATCTGCCGCCAATCCCCCTCTTTTTGCTGAGGAAAACTGGTCCTGAGCTAACATCCGTGCCCATCTTCCTCTACTTTATATGTGGGACGCCTACCACAGCATGGCTTGACAAGCAGTGCCATGTCTGCACCCAGGATCCAAACTGGCGAACTCCAGGCTGCCAAAGCGGAACATGTGAACTTAACCACTGTGCCACTGGACCGGCTGCTCAGTGTTTTTATGGTTTCTTCCAGTGTGTCCTATCTTTCCCATTGATAAAAGTGGGTATCCGCTTTTGTTCTTTGTTGTTTTTTTTTTTAAGATT